TTACTTTAAAACAAATACTTTTTAAATCTAGACAAACACCGCCAACACATCTCCCACTCCCAATTGCTTTACTTTTAGGCTTGATAAGGCGCATGCACGCTGTCCCGCTAGGTATTTTGGTGGGTTTGAAGTTGATTGAATTAAAGTTATACAATCAACAAGGCAAATGAAAGAAATCCGCAGCAAATATCTGGAGGGCCCGATGAAATGAATTCGACACGCGAGAAATGGGGTTCGATAAGCACAAAATGTGGAATACCCGGGACTCATTGACAAAGACAATTTACCTGCTTATCATAAAAAATCTCCTAGTACCACCTGAAATCATTAATTATTATTTTCTTAAATTTAACTGAGGATAAAATCAAACTTTCAAGTTTAGTAATTTATTTTTAAATATAATAATTTATTTTAAAAATTTAATATTTAAACTAAATTGATTGAGAATTTAATTCTCATCAATCATTTAAAAAAAATTTCTTTTTCTCATAATTCTCCCATGTAAAAAAAAAAAAAAAACTAAGGGAAAGAAAAAAGCAAAAAAAAAGGGGATGATTTAAAGTTTTTAGAAATCAAACCCCGGAAATTAAGAAGCCTTCTTTTTACCCTCCATCTTTAACTAATAAAATTTTTTTATTTAGAATTTATTTCATAATAATAATAATAATAATTTTTTATATTTTAATTTTAATTATCGATGCCATTATGATTTAATTCTAAGAATAGGACACAAGCCCATGTGAAGATGCCTCAGCAAGCCCACAGTGGTCCCCATTTTCATCTTCGTCTTGGATTCCAAAAAGAAAGAGGGACCCCAGATCTGCAACATTTTGTCCAACCGTGTGCTACAGTTGAGAGAGGTTGGCTTGGCTCCTTGCAAGGAAAGGTGGGGATGAATTGATGAGGATCGGAGGGGTGTCTGTGAGGGAGACTTAGGGTTTTATTCAAATTTCTTCTCCTCTATAAATTCGGAGATTGTGGGGAGTTATTTCAAATTTGTAAGTTTAGTCCTTAAACTTAGTTTTAAAGTGCAACCTTTGTTAGTCACTAGCTGGGGACTCCATTATTGCAAAATTTTTTCCTTTAAAAAAAAATTTAGATTGTATAATGAGAATAAATTATATCCTATTATTTAATTAATCTCATATGTATATTATGTAATTTAAATTCAAAATCTTTTTTACAAAGATTACTATCAATCCAAAATAATAATTTTCTAATCATCAAACTTTCAATGCTTTTCAACTAGATCCTAAATCAATTCCCTCAACAATTAAATTTAGTCTAAATATCCTAGTTAAAATTTGCACGTATTCGAAGGACTCCCTTTCCAAACTCTTGAATTTCAATATTCACATGGACACAAAGACACATCGTTTTTTGATTTTTTGATTTTTTTTTTTTTTGCGAGAACTCAACATTTTTAACTAATTTTTTTTAAAAGGTCAATAAAACAATATTTTCAATAGGTGAATGTGGTAATGTCTAATGCAATGCAGCGTTACAATTTTCAAGTAATGCATCGCATTATAGAGGGTGTTGGGCAAAGCATA